CTGGCACCAGCGCCTCGTCCTGCTCCAGCACCGCCGACATCGGCCCCGGCACCACCACCGACACGGGCCTGGGGGGTTGGGGCTGGCTGGGCACGGCCCGGAACCCCTCTGTGTCCTTGTCCCCGCTGGGGAAGGTGGCTGGTGGCTGCCCTGGCGCTGGGTGTGATGTTGGTGCTGCTGGTACTGTGTCTGGTGAGGGGTTTGTGTGTGCCACGGTGGGGTCTGAGGATGGCTCCGAGTCCGGCGGGCAATCTGTGTCCAGCAAGGGCTGCCTGACCAGCAGGGGCTCCACATCAGGAGGAGGGGCCCTGTCCGGAGCGGGGACAGCGTCCATGGGCATGTCCATGCTCTCCTCCAGCAGCTCCAGGAAGGGAAAGTGGGGTTTGAGCTCCAGCACCACGTCCTGCAGCCGGTGTGGCCTCTGCAGCACCCGCTCCACGGCTGCGGGGGACAAAGGGACAGGCAGCTGGGGCCCAGAACGGCTCCCCGTGCCCCCATGATCACCCTGTTCCTGTGCCAATGGCACTGTGCCCACCTCACCACCCTGCTCCTGCACTAAGGGCTCTGTGCCCACTTTGGCATCCCCTTCCCCTGTGATCACCCTGTTCCTGTGCAAATGGCACTGTGCCCACCTCAATATCCTGCTCCTGCACCAAGGGCACTGTGCCCACCTTGGCACCCCATTCCCCCATGACCACCCGGTCCCTGTGCCAATGGCACCATGCCCACCTCACCACCCCACTTGTGCACCAAGGGCTCTGTGCCCACCTTGGCACCCCACTCCCATCCACCCATGATCACCCTGTTCCTGTGCAAATGGCACCGTGCCCACCTTGGCACCCCATTCCCATGCCCCCATGATCACCCTATTCCTGAGCAAACGGCACCATGCCCACGTCATCACTCTGTTCCTGCACTGAGGGCACCATGCCCTCCTTGGCACCCCATTTCCATGCCCCCACGATCACCCTGTTCCTGTGCAAATGGCACCATGCCCATCTTTACCACCCCATTCCTGCACTAAGGGCACCATGCTCACCTCACCACCCCATTCCACACCAATGGCGCCATGCCCACCTTGGCACCCCATTCCCATGCCCCCATGATCACCCTGTTCCCGTGCAAATGGCACTGTGCCCACCTCACCACCCCATTCCACACCAATGGCGCCATGCCCACCTTGGCACCCCATTCCACATCGAGGGTACCGTGCCCACCTTGGCATCCCATTCCCACACTGAGGGCGCTGCACCCACCTCACCACCCCATTTCCATGCCCCCACGATCACCCTATTCCCGTGCAAATGGCCCTGGCACCCTGGCCCCACCCGCTCACCTGCGGGCTCCTGGAAGGTGACGACGGCCCCGCGCCCCCCTGGCAGCAGCCGCACGTCGCTCACGCGGCCGCCGCCGCTGCGCCGGTTCTCGAAGTAGAGCTCGAGCAGGTCCCGGCTCAGCGCCGGCCCCGCCGCCTGCACCAGCACCGCGGGGCTCTGCGGCACCCGCAGCAGCGCCAGCCCCCGCTGCCGNNNCGCTGGCACCGCGCGCCCACGGCCGGGCCAGCGCCCCCGCGGCGCTGCCGTGCCCAGGGGGTGGGCACCCGGCAGAACCCGCGCCCCAAAACGCCACCCCGGTGCTCCCAGATCCCTCAGACCATCAGTACCCTGCCCCCCAATACTCCCACCTCTGGTACCAGGGCACCCGGCAGAACCCGCGCCCCAAAATGCCACCCTGGTGTACCCCCCTGCCCATCAGCTCCCTGCCCTCCCAATACTCCCACCCCTGGCACCAGGGCACCCAGCAGAACCCGTGCCCCAAAACGCCACCCCGTGCTCCCAGATCCCTCAGACCATCAGCACCCTGTCCCCCAATACTCCCACCCCTCGCACCCAGCAGAACCCACACCCCAAAACGCTCCCCTGGTGCTCCCAGACCCCCCAGCCCATCAGCCCCTGGCCCCTCAATAATCCCACCCCTGGCACCAGGGCACAGAGCAGAACCTGTACCCCAAAATGCCACCCTGGTGTCCCCCAGATCCCCCAGCGCATCAGGCCCCTGTCCCCCCAATACTCCCACCCCGGCACCATTGCTCCCCCACCCCTCAGCAGTCACCCCAGGCCCTGGATCCCCACCTCATTGCCCCCCATTCCCCTGGCAGCTCCATCACATCCCCTTTGCCCTCCTCAACCCCATCCCCAACATCCCCATCCCATCCTGGTGTCCCTCCCAGAACCCCCAGCCCATCAGGCCCCCAGCCCCCCAATACTCCCACCTCTGGCACCAAGGCACCTGGCAGAACCCGCGCCCCAAAATGCTCCCCTGGTGCTCCCAGACCCCCCAGCCCATCAGCCCCTCGCCCCCCAATGCTCCCACCTCTTGCACCAGGGCACAGCAGCAGAACACGTGCCCCAAAAAGCAGCCTGACCCTGTCACCCCAGCCCTGTCTCCCCCTCCTGTTCCCCCCATCCCCCTGGCAGCTCCATCCCACCACCCCTGCCCACCACCCCCGACATCCCGCTCCCACCCTGGTGTCCCCCCACGGCCCCCAGTCCCACCTGGGGGGCTCAGGGGGTCCTGCAGGCGCAGCAGCGCCCAGCCGGGCACAGAGCCCTGGCACAGGGTGACAGCGTCGGGGGGGACCCCCAGCAGGGTCTGCAGGTGCTCGGGGGGGGTCCCAGGCTCCAGACCCCGCAGCAGCAGGTGGGTGGGGTCCCAGGGGGGGGCCGGGCGCACCCTCAGCTCGGCCCCCCCGAGCCTGTGGCTGCTGTGGGCCAGCACGTTCTGTGCATCTGTGCAGGGAGACCGGGGTCAGTGGGGGCTCACCCAGCACCCCCTCACCCCCCGGGACCCCACAGGACTGCTCACAGTGATCCCAGTGGGAATGGGACCCCCCACACCCCATCCCAGTGCTCCCAGTGGGGCTGGGACCCCCCACACCCCATCCCAGTGCTCCCAGTGGGGCTGGGAGCTCCAAACACAATCCCAGTGATCCCAGTGGGAATGGGAACCCCCACACCCCATCCCAGTGCTTCCAGTGGGGCTGGGATCCCCCCCACCTTATCCCAGTGGGGCTGGAAACGCCCACACCCCATGCCAGTGCTCCCAGTTGGGACTGTGCCCTCCACACCCTATCCCAGTGCTCCCAGCAGGGCTGGGATCCCCCAGTGGGAATGGGAACCCCCACACCCTGTCCCAGTGCTCCCAGTGGGAATGGGAACCCCTACACCCTATCCCCGTGTACCCAGTAAGGATTGGGCCCACACATTCTATCCCAGTGCTCTCAGTGGGGTTGGGAGCTCCAAACACAATCCCAGTACTCCCAGTGGGAATGGGAACCCCCACAGCCTATCCCAGTGCTCCCAGTTGGGTCTGGGATCCCCCCCACGTTATCCCAATGGGGCTAGGAACTCCCACACCCCATGCCGGTGCTCCCAGTGGGACTGGGATCCCCCAAAGCCTATCCCAGTGCTCCCAGTTGGATCTGGGATCCCCCACAGCCTATCCCAGTGCTCCCACTGGGGTTGGGAGCTTCAAACACAATCCCAGTACTCCCAGTCAGGACTGGGACAGTCACACACACATCCCATCCCAGTGCTCCTAGTGGGACTGAGACCCCCAAATCCCATCCCAGTGATCCCAGTAGGGCTGAGACCCCCAAATCCCATCCCAGCAATCCCCGTTGGGACTGAGACCCCCAAATCCCATCCCAGTGATCCCAGAGGGGCTGGGATCCCCCACACCCTATCCCAGTGCTCCCAGTGGGACTGAGACCCCCAAATCCCATCCCAGTGCTCCCCGTTGGATCCGGGACACGGCCCCCTGCCCACGCTTACCCTGGGGGTCCTCGAAGGTGACGAAGAGGAGGGGCCCGAGGCGCTGGCAGCTCCGCACGGGCCCCCCGCCCGAGCGCCGCCGGCTCTCGAAGTACAGCACCAGCAGCTCCTCGGGGGCGTCGGGGGGCACCCCCCGCACCTCCAGCACCCCCCCGGCCATCCTGGGGCACACACACATTTGGGGCTGGCACCCCCTCGCTTCCTTTACTCCCCCCGTGACCCCGAACCCCCTCCCGAACCCCCCGTACCGAGCGCACCCCCGGCCCCGCGCCCGCAGGGGGGGACCCCCCTGTAGCCACAAGCAGGGACCCCCCCACCCCAGAGCGGAACCCCCCGATCGCCCCGGGCCTCCCCAGCCCCGTGGGGGTCCCACGGCCCCCGGCAGAGCCCCCCACCCCGCGGGGCAGGGCCCCCCCTCTCACCGGACGCTGCGAGGCTCCGCCCCGACCGAGAACCGAAACCGAAACCGGGCCCAGAACGGGAAGGGGAAGGGCGGGGGGCGGGACAGGGGTGGGGACACGGGACACGGGACACGGGACAGGCCCCACGCGGGACGCGGGGACGCGTGGCGGTCACACGGAGGGGGAACGGGGACCGAGGGACCGGCCACACGCGGGACACGGCAGGGGGACAAGTGACTGTCCCTTGTGCGGGACCGGCCCCACGCGCGACCGGGGACACGGAACTGGCACCAGATGTGGCGAGGGGACACGGGAAAAACCCCACGGGTGGCGGGGGTACACGGGACTGTCCCCGAGAGGGACACGGGGACACGGGGCCAGCCACGCGGGTGACAGGGGGACAAGTGACTGTCCCTCGTGTGTGATCGGGGGACCCGTGGCCAGCCCCACGAGTGACAGGGGGCACGGAACTGACCCCACACGTGACAAGGGCACATGAGATAAGCCCCACGAGTGACATGGGGACGCGGAACTGACCCCAGATGTGACAAGGGGACAAGGAAAAAGCCCCACAGAGGTACATGAGAATGAGACAGGCCCAAGGGCCATGCCCAGGGGTGACAGGAGGACATGTGGCCGTCCCTTACTTGTTACTGGGGGACTCGTGACCATCCCCACGAGTGACCAGGGACACGGAACTGACACCAGATGCGATAAGGGGACACGGAAAAAGCCCCACAGAGGCACACGAGAATGACACAAGCGCATGGGCCATGCCCAGGGGTGACAGGGGCACACGTGGCCGCCCCTGTCTCGTCACCTGCGGCTCGTGACCGTCCCCACGCGTGACACGGCGGGGCCGGGGCCGCCCGCACCGAACGCGCGCCGCCGCCACCAGGGGGCGCTGTGCTGCGCGGAACCCGTGGCTCCGCCCCCAACGAGGCCCCGCCCCTCCTCTGTAGCCTACGCAGCATTAGCGGGCGAAGCCCCGCCCCCTCCAAGCCCCGCCCCGCGCAGGCCCCGCCCCGCCCGGCGCGCAGCGAGCGGACCCCGCGCAGCTCGGGGCGCTGCCCGTTGGCCGGGCCGGGCCCGCTGCGGCAGCGGAACCGCTTCGGCACCGCCGCCTGCCAGGCTGCGGCAGCGAGCCCGCACGGCTACCGGGACCGGTACCGCACCGCCGGCTGCGCGCGCCCCGCGCAGGGCGCAGCCGCCGCTTCCGCACCGCCCGGTTTTGTAACCGGGCTCCCGGGAGCGGGGGCGGCCCCGGGGCTGCGGTGGAGCCCGCCCGGCTCCATGAGGTGGGGCCGCGGCCGGGCCTGGGCACGGGCCTGGCGGGACGCCGCCGCTGGCGGTGGCAGCCCGAGGGGGCGGTGGGTGCCGCGCGGCGGTGCCAGCCCCGCGGCCGAGCCCCCGAGGCGCCGCCGGGCCCGCGGCCCCGGGGCTGTTGCCATGGCAACGGCCTCGCTGCCGCCATCTTGTGCGGGCGCGGGGGCGGGGGGAACAGGACGGGACCCCCCGATGGCGGGGACCCCCATGCTGGGGCATCCCCGGGGGAGGGACCCCCATCCCAGGCACCCCTGAGTGAGGAAGCCCCATCCCAGGCATCCTCCGAGGGAGGGACCCCCGTCCCGGGGCATTTCCCCGAGTGGAGACCCCCATCCCCGAGTGAGGAACCCCCACCCCGGGCATTCCCGAGTGAGGGACCCCCATACTGGGGCATGTCCCAGTGGGGACCCCCATCCCTGGGCATCCCCCGAGTGAGGGACCCCCATCCCCGAGTCAGGAACACCCAACCCAGGGCATCCCGGAGCGAGGGACCCCCATCCCCAGGCATTCCCGAGTGAGGGACCCCCACCCCAGGCATCCCCCGAGTGGTAGACCCCCATCCCAGGGTATTCCCGAGTTAGGGACCCCCATCCCAGGCATCCCCTGAGTTAGGGACCCCCATCCCGGGCATCCCCTGAGTGAGGGACCCCCATCCCAGGCATCCCCTGAGTTAGGGACCCCCATCCCGGGCATCCCCTGAGTGAGGGTCCCCCATCCCAGGCATCCCCTGAGTGGAGACCCCCATCCCCTGAGTGAGGGACCCCCATCCCAGGCATCCCCTGAGTGAGGGTCCCCCATCCCAGGCCATCTCCCAGTGGGGACCCCCACTGCGGTGCTGAACTGGCTGGGGACCCCCGGGGGTGGGGGGTGATGGCCATGGGGGGGTGATGATGGCCATGGGGGAGATGAGGAGGGGGCTGACAGCCGTGGGGGACAACGCCCCCATCTCTAACCCCCTGTCCCCCCCCACCCACAGCACGAAGGCGGCCGCAGCCCGCGGGCCACCATGTCCCACGAGAAGAGTTTCCTGGTGACGAGCGACGGTTGTACCCCCAGGGCCCCTATGGCCAGCCGCCCTACGCCCAGCCCCAGCCCATGGTCCCTGGAGACCAGGACTGTAAGTACCGGGAAAAGGGGGGTGGGGGGCTCCAGATGGGCTGGGAGACCCTCCTGGCTCCGTGCTGGGGGGGTGTGACACGTCTGGGCTCCTGGCTGAGGCTGGGGGCTTCGGGGGTGCGGGGCAGCCCCTGGGTGTGGGCACTGAGGGCAGCCTGGAGGGCTCCCTTGGAGGGGGAGCAGAGCAGACAGTGGGGGGGTCTGGCAGCTCAGGGGGGCCAAGTGGGGCAGCAGGGACCCCCCCTCCCCCCCCACCCACAGCACGAAGGCGGCCGCAGCCCGCGGGCCACCATGTCCCACGAGAAGAGTTTCCTGGTGACGAGCGACGGTTTCGGGGGCCAGCAACCGCCGACGGCCCCCCCGGCCTACCCTCAGCCCCCGTACCCCGTGGCCCCGTACCCCCAGCCCCAGTTTGCCTGTGGCTCCACCTTCTGCCCCACAGGTTCTAGGGGACTCTGCCCACCGGGGACAGACCCTGGGAGGGGTGACACTGCCCAGAGCTGTGCCAGCTGTGACACCTGGCTGTGGCTCCACCTGCTGCCCCACAGGTCCTGGGGGGCAGCTGGGGGACTGTGCTCACTGGGGACAGTGCTGGCTGTGGCCCTGGGAGGGGTGACACTGCCTAAAACTGGTAGCTGTGACACCTGGTTTTGGGGGACACAGAGCTCCACTCCCCTTGGCTGCTGTCCCACATGTCCTGGGGGGCAGCTGGGGGACTTTGCCCACCAGGGATGGACCCTGGGAGGGGTGACACTGCCCAGAGCTGTGCCAGCTGTGACACCTGGCTTTGGGGGACACAGAGCTCCACTCCCCTTGGCTGCTGTCCCACATGTCCTGGGGGGCAGCTGGGGGACTTTGCCCACCAGGGATGGACCCTGGGAGGGGGCACATTGCCCAGAACAATGCCAGCTGTGCCAGCTGGCTTTGGGGGGCAGAGAGTTCCACTCCCGTGGCTGCTCCTCCAGACATCCTGGGGGGCAGCTAAGAGACTCTGCCCACCAGGGATGGACCCTGGGAGGGGTGACACTGCCCAGAACAATGCCAGCTGTGACACCTCGCTTTGGGGGACACAGAGCTCCACTCCCTGTGGCTGCTGCCCCAGATGTCCTGGGGGACTTTGCCCACCGGGGATGGACCCTGGGAGGGGTGACACTGCCCAGAACAATGCCAGCTGTGCCACCTGGCTTTGGGGGGCACTCTCCACGTCTCGTGGGACCCTCCCCGAGCGGTGTGGCCCCCTCCCCACAGCCCCCCTGCACAGCACCTACCACGAGGATGGGCCCCCCTCCTACTATGACAACCAGGACTTCCCGTCGGCGCACTGGGACGACAAGAGCATCCGGCAGGCCTTCATCCGCAAGGTGGGACACGGGGGGCTCGGGGTGGGCTGCGGGGCACCGGGGGGCCCCCCTGTGACCCTGCCGCCCGTCCCCAGGTGTTCCTGGTGCTCACGCTGCAGCTGACCGTCACCTTCGCCTTCGTGACCGTCTTCACCTTCGTCAAAGGCGTGCGGGGCTTCGTGCAGCGCAACGTGTGGACGTACTACGTGTCCTACGCCGTGTTCTTCATCTCCCTCATCGTCCTCAGCTGCTGTGGCGACTTCCGCCGCAAGCACCCCTGGAACCTCGTGTCCCTGGTGGGCTGGGGGCACGGCTGGCAGGGCCAGGAGCAGCTGGGGCTTCCTGGGCCAGGGACACGGCGTGGCGGGGGTTAGGGGTGCTGGGCTGGTCGCTCATGGAAGGTTTGGGGGTGCCACAGTGGGGTGAGTTTGGGGGTGCTGAGCTAGGTGGGGTGACAGGACAGGTTTGGGGGTGCCAAGGCACACAGAGGGTTTAAGGGTGCTGCGGTGGGGGTCCATGGAAGCTTTGGGGGTGCCACGGTGGGGTGGGTTTAGGGGTGCAGAGCCAGGGAGCACACAGAGGGTTTAAGGATGCTGGGCTGGGGGCTCATGGAAGGTTTGGGGCTGCCACGGTGGGATGGGTTTGGGGGTGCTGAGCTAGGTGGGGGGACAGGACAGGTTTGGGGGTGCCAAGGCACACAGAGGGTTTAAGGATGCTGCGGTGGGGGTCCATGGAAGCTTTGGGGGTGCCACGGTGGGGTGGGTTTAGGGGTGCAGAGCCAGGGAGCACACAGCAGGTTTGGAGGCTGAGCGGGCAGATTTGGGGTGCTGCTCCACGGAGGTTTTGGGGAAGTTTGGAGCTGGGTGGTGAGACAGGGCAGGTTTGGGGGTGCCAAGGCACACAGAGCGTTCAAAGCTGCTGGGCTGGAGGTTCATGGAAGGTTTGGGGGTGCCACAGTGGGGTGGGTTTAGGGGTGCTTGGGTGCTTAGCTAGGGAGCACACAGAGGGTTTAAGGATGCTGGGTTCGGGGCTCATGGAAGGTTTGGGGGTGCCACAGTGGGGTGGGTTTGGGAGTGCCAAGCCAGGAGCACACAGAGGGTTTAAGGGTGCTGGGTTGGGGGCACATGGAAGGTTTGGGGGTGCCACAGTGGGGGCACTGGGTGGGGTGGGTTTGAGGGCGCTGAGCCAGGGGGCACATGGCGTGTTTGGGGATGCCAGGCTGGGCAGACAGGCCTGATGGGTTCCCCCCTTGCCTTCCCAGTCCATCCTGACTGTCAGCCTGTCCTACATGGTGGGGATGATAGCCAGCTTCTATGACACTGAGGCTGTCATCATGGCTGTCGGCATCACCGTCGTCGTCTGCTTCACCGTGGTCATCTTCTCCCTGCAGGTCAGTGCCAGGGCTGCCCCTGCTCCTGCCTGGGGGGCTCCAAACTGGGGGTACGACACCCCAGTGACTCCCTGCTGGGCTCCTGGGGGGCTGTGGGATCTCCTCTCCTGGGCCTTTGGACCCCAGATGGGGTGTACAGCCCTCCCCAGCTCCCTGCTGGCTCTGGGGGCTCCACACCGGGGTCTGATCCCCCCCAATCCCCCTCCCCACAGACCAAGTACGACTTCACCTCGTGCCGGGGCGTCCTCATCATCTGCCTCGTCGTGCTCGTCCTCTTCTCCATCCTGTGCATCTTCATCCGGAACCGCATCGTGGACATCGTCTACGCCTCGCTGGGGGCCCTGCTCTTCACCTGCGTGAGTCGGGGGGCTGGGACCCCCAGCTGCTGAGGGGGGACACTGCCACCAGCACCCCGGGGTGCTCTGGCTCTGTGGGGAGATGTAGGGTGTGCTCGGGGTGGAGGGTGCAGGGTGTGCTCGGCTGGTTTGGGATGGAGGGGACTTGTGGGACCTGCTGGTTCCTCCTGCCCCCCACACTGCCCCGTGCCATGCAGGTGCAGGGTGTGCTTGGCTGGTTTGGGATGGAGGGGACCTGTGCTGGTTCTTCCTGCCCCCCACACTGCTGTGTCCCACAGTTCCTGGTGGTGGACACGCAGGGCGTGCTCAGGATGGATGGGGCAGGGTGTGCTTGGCTGGTTTGGGGGGGGAGGGATTTATGGGACCCGCTGGCTGGTTCCTCCACCCCTGACACTGCCCCGTCCCGCAGTTCCTGGCGGTGGAGGGTGCAGGTTTGGGGTGGGAGGGATTTATGGGACCCGCTGGCTGGTTCCTCCACCCCTGACACTGCCCCGTCCCGCAGTTCCTGGCGGTGGACACGCAGCTGATCCTGGGGAACAAGCAGCTGGCGCTGAGCCCCGAGGAGTACATCTTCGCCGCGCTCAACCTCTACACCGACATCATCAACATCTTCCTCTACATCCTCGCCATCATCGGCAGGGCCAAGGAGTAGCCCCCGCCTCCCCGGCCCCGCGGCCCCGCCCCGCTCGGGATCCCCTCCCCGTAGCCGGTTTTGTTGCCGTTCTCATCGCGGTTCCTCCCCGCGGGGGCTCGCCCGGCCCCCTGCTCCTCCCCGCTGTGAATACGATTTCCCCCCTCCCTTTGCGTTGAACGCGGACTGGAAGCACTTTGGAACCCCCTGTGTCCTGTCCTGTCCCCACCACGCTGTCCCCTCCCTGTCACCCTTGTCACTACGCCAGCTGCACGGGCAGGGGCAGTGCCAGCAGCACTGCAGACCCTCTGAGCCACTGTCCCTGCCTGTCCCCACCCCGAGCCACGGTCCCTGCCTGTGGCACCTCCAGACATCCCCGAGGCACCGTCCCCACGTGGGTGTACCACCAGAACCCCTCGAGCCACTGTCCCTGTCTGTCCCCAGACCCCCTGAGCCTGTGGCACCCTCAGACCCTCCTGCTCTGAGCCACTGTCCTCATGTGGAGACACTCCCGACCCCCTGAGCCACCAGCCCTGCCCATTGCCACCTGCCTGTCCCCACCCCCGAGCCACAGCCCCTGTCTGTGGCACCCCCAGACCCCCCCTGCCCTCCCCGCGTGGCCGAGGCCCCATCCTGGTCCTGCTGTTAATAAATTGTCTTGTTCATCTCCCACGGCTCTGGCTCCATCCCAGCGTGTCCTGCTGTCCCCAGCCCCCAGTGTCACCACCACACTCCAGCTGGGGTCAGGTGGCACCAGGGCTGAGGGAGCTGAGGACAGCCTGGGGACAAGAAGGTTCAGGGGAGACCCCAGCAGGACTGGAAGACGCAGCCAGGTGAGGCTGGGTCCTGTTTCCTGAGGTTTAGGGGAGGTTTAGGTGGGATATTGGAAAAATTCCTTCCTGGGAAGGGCTGTGCAGCCCTGGCACAGCTGCCCCAGGCAGGGCTGAGTCCCCATCCCTGGGGGGATTTGACAGATGTGTTGTATGTGGCACTTGGGGACGTGGCCTTGGCAGTGCCCTGAGCAGTGCTGGACCCGGTGGGCTCAGAGGCTTGTCCATCCAACCCAAACCATTCCATTATTCCTTGATGCCCAGTCCAGCCTGGCATCTCCTGACACGTTCCTTGGCAGCTCCAGCCCTGGCCAATATTTCTGTCTCCACATTCTCCCTCGGGAGGCATTCCCTGCTCTTCCTTTGCTGCTCCCAGGTCTTTCCTGTTTGAAAGTTTTAAGAGCAGCTTTTAAGGGTTTTAAGGTGGCACCAGCAAAGGCATCAGCAAAAGGAGGTTTGAAATAAAAGTAGTAAAAGCTGCTCCTCTGCAGGGGCTGAGGGCTGAGCCCCGAGGGGCAGGGGAGCAGCCCAGGCTTGGCTTTGGTTCTCTGAGCACAGCGAAGGTGAGGGCCCCTCCTGGGAATGCCGGGCACAGCCCAGGACCAGGAGAGCTCCAAAGCTCCCAGGAGGTGTTTGCAGGTCACAGGAGAGAGGGTGGACTTTGGCCATGCTCGTTTTCGATCCCGCCTGCAATCCGGGCCAGGAGCTCTCTCTGAAAGTTCCACAGAGACAATGTTCCACTTGGGCTGTTCTTCAGGCAAGAAAAATGAGTTCCCAGGGCTGTTTGTTAAAGGAGGAGCTCGTTATCCAGCAGGAATTCCTGGGAGCAGACTGTGCTCCTGATAAGCTTGGAGGAGCTCAGCACAAGTGCTGCTCGTTGGGGTCTGGTGGCATTTCTGAGATCACAGAGCAGTGTGGGGGGGTGCAGCACCCCAGCTGCATCTCCCACCTGTCTGTCCCCGGGGCTCCACTGCCCACTGCTCTGTTCCTGGGTGTCCAGAGCAAGCCTTTCCCCTCCCAGGGCTGCCCAGCTCCCTCCCTGTCCTCTGTCCCTTTCCCAGATCCCTCTCTGTCCCCTGTCCCTCTCCCAGGACTGCCCAGCTCCCTCCCTGTCCCCTGTCTCTCTCCCAGGGCTCCCTCTCTGTCCCCTGTCCCTGTCCCAGCTCTGTCTCTGTCCCCTGTCCCTCTCCCAGGGCTGCCCAGCTCCCTCTCTGTCCCCTGTCCCTGTCCCAGCTCCCTCTCTGTCCCCTGTCCCTGATTTCCAGAGCAGAGCCTGGCTGATTTGCTGGCTCCAGGCCGCCCCTGCGGAGCAGAGCTGCCCTGGCAGCTTCTCCTCTCTCCTGCCCTCCGGATTCCACCCTGCGGCCTCGTTTGTTTATTTCTGTAAATCCCTCCCCAGCACCTGTCGTGCTGCTGCTGTCCCTGTCCCACCCCTGAGGCCATGTGAGTGTCACACACAGCATCCCCGGGGCTGTCCCGGCTGTCCCCGTGTCCCATGGCCCTGGGGCTGTCCCAGCGGTCCCCGTGTCCCACAGCCCCTGTGCTGCCTCCTGCTGTGGCTGTCCCCGTGTCCCACAGCCCCAGGGCTCTCCTGGCTGTCCCCTTGTCCCATGGCCCTGGGGCTGTCCCGGCTGTCCCCGTGTCCCACTGGCCCCTGTGCTGCCCCTGCCCTGGCTGTCCCCGTGTCCCACAGCCCCAGGGCTCCCCTGGCTGTCCCCGTGTCCCACAGCCCTGGGGCTGTCCCGGCTGTCCCCGTGTCCCACAGCCCCGGGGCTGTCCCGGCTGTCCCCGTGTCCCTCTGGCCCCTGCGCTGCCTCCTGCCCTGGCTGTCCCCGTGTCCCACAGCCCCGGGGCTGTCCCGGCTGTCCCCGTGTCCCTCTGGCCCCTGCGCTGCCTCCTGCCCTGGCTGGCCCCGTGCCCGCAGTGCCAGGGGAGGCACTGGGGCTGCAGCCAGGGACAGGAGCAGCTGCTTGGCCAGTGACGCTGCCAGAGGCCAAGCCCGGAGCCACGGGAGCCCTTCGGGTGCTCTGTGCGGGGTGCTGGTTCTGGGGTGGGAGTGGGGCAGGCACTGAGCCCTTCCCACCATGAGACGTTCCCTCTTGGATCACTCTGCCAGCTCCGGGCCTCAGCACGGAGGCGATGTGGAGCTCCTGAAGTGAGTCCAGAGCAGGCCACGGAGATGCTTCGAGGGGTGAAGCCCCTCTGCCGTGGAGACAGCTGGGGGTGTCCAGCCTGGAGCAGAACCCAGGGAGACACCAAAGCCACTTTCACTGGCTGCAGGAGCTCCAGGAGAGCCGGGGACAGACTTTGGACAAAGCACGGAGGGACAGGGGAAGGGAGAATGGCTCCCCACCGCCACAGGGCGGTCAGGTGGGACATTGGGAAGGGATTTTTCCCTGGCACGGTTCCCCAGAGAAGCTGCGGCTGCCCCATCTCGGGAAGGGTCCAAGGGTCGTGCTGCCGCCTGCTGTTGGCGCCCGGAACTGCAGCCGGGAGCGGCGCATGCGCGGTGCCGTCGATTTTCACCGCGCTTGCTGCTGCCCTCCTGTGGACAATTCCCGAACCGCAACTCCAGGAGCTGAGCGGGTAAAGAGGGAAAATCCCCAATTTGAAAGAAAAATGAGTTTCCTGAGTGAAACTTTTTTTCATCAATAAATGGGTGGTGTTGCCTATGTCCCTATTTCTCCATTTTACTTTTCATCTTTCTTCATTCTGTTTGTTTTTCTTTTTTTTTCCTCCTCAATGCTGCTTCTGAAGTGTTAATTCAAATCAGGAACTTTGGAACTGGCCCCAAACTGATTATTCGTCCTTTTTAAACTCCACTGAGCAGCCCCCGCCAGCTCCCTCAGTACTTTCTGGTGCTCCAGACCCTTCCACAGCTCCATCCCTTCCCTGGACACGCTCCAGCCCCTCCAGGTCCTTTGTGAGGGGCTGCAGTGACCGAGGAAAAAGGGAGGAACATTTCTCCAGCACCTCTTTGAAGATCGAGGCTTGAAAAATAAAGCTTTAAGTTGCCTCTAACAAAAATTCCAGGAACTGCTTTATTTTAGGAAAATGAGGCTTCCTGCAGGAAAGGCGTTAAAGGAGCTGTAGCGGATACATCAGGCGAGCCAGTAGCAAATTTTGGTAAACTTTTGATATGCCAGGAAAGCAAGAATCAAATTTCTGATAAACATTTGATACAC